TCTACATTTTCTCTCTAAGGCCCTTCAAGCCTAAAAATTTTCACCTAGAAGAATCTCAGAACCCTAGAGCTAAAACCAGAAGTAACAGGGAAACTGTAGATTCTTTATAAAAAAGAGGCAGAGAAGACTTCACAGGGATGTCTGTCTGAGTGCTCAGAGGAGAGAGATGTCAGATTTCTGTGGCCTCAAAATCACTGTTAAAAAATTAAGAATGAGGGAAAGCCACTAACCTTCAATGATAAGTCACTGCTCTTCAAATAAAGCCCTATGATGCTTTGCAAATATCATTGTTAGGTACAATAATACATTCATTATTTATTTATTTACTTATTTTTAAGTTTATTTATTTTTGAGAGAGACAGAGCATGAGTAGGGGAGGAGCAGAGAGAGTGGGAGACACAGAATCCGAAATCGGCTCCAGGCTCTGAGCTGTCAGCACAGAGCCCAATGTAGGCCACGAACCCACGAACTATGACATCATGACCTGAGCTGAAGTTGGATGCTTAACCGACTGAGCCACCCAGGCACCCCCATTTATTATTTACAAAAACAAATAACAGTTTTAACATCATGGCCCTTCTATTTATTTTTAATGGGCACTTGTGTGAAAATATCCATTAAACTTCTTACAAATACACACTAACCTGCATTTCCTTCAAAATTTAAAATATAATTTGAAAACATTTATTGCCATCATAGACTCTTGTTTCTTTACAACGAGACACCTACTTTCCATGAGGGCCCCTTTCAATTTACTTTCACAGAGTCCTTTTTACACATATTGGTTAAGTTTTACTGAATACTTCTCCTAGGTAATTCAATATATATCTGTTTACATTATTTTGCAATTTTCCTGACTACTTAAATATAAAGAATAAATGACAAGAATTTGATAAAATGTCCATATGCTGAATTTAGTGGATCTTAAAATTAAGTTTATCTTAGGACACGCTCTCTGATAAATCATGCAAAACTCATAGATTTTTTTACTTGAAACATTTTTATATATACATCCATTTATCCCAAGTCATTAAAAACGAATTATGTTGAAACAGTTAATAGTAAAATATGATCCCATGATGCAAAAGTTACTCAGATAGCAAATGCTTATATCAAAAAGGAGGTACCTTTGCTGTCCCTTGGGCAGTATTTTACGTAGACGGCGCTGTATTTAAAAAGGCATTAGTTGTCTTATTATGCAGCTCTATTTATTTATTTTTAATAAAAGTGGTGTGAATCAATGATTACTTTGGATTTGAAAGGCAATTCCTTACTCCTGCAAGAACCTAGCTGGGGACGCGCAGTCCCACTGGATCTGCTTGCGGGGATGATTCCTACAGTGAGTCATACGACCCATGAACACACAAGTGAAAACAGCAGCAACTCCCTTTTGGCACATCGTTCTTGTACATCCAAGACCTCATTTCACATGCAACAAATCTCTACCAAGGTACTGAAAGGAACCTCTGTATAACAAAGGAATGAAGGAACACCATGATTTGGGTCAGCCCCAAAAGGCTTTGATTTCTTCCACGAAGAGTGTTTTGATAGAAAGGATTTTCTCTCATGTAACATTAAAGCCTGGGGGCGCCTGGGTGGCGCAGTCGGTTAAGCGTCCGACTTCAGCCAGGTCACGATCTCACGGTCCGTGAGTTCGAGCCCCGCGTCGGGCTCTGGGCTGATGGCTCAGAGCCTGGAGCCTGTTTCCGATTCTGTGTCTCCCTCTCTCTCTGCCCCTCCCCCGTTCATGCTCTGTCTCTCTCTGTCCCAAAAATAAATAAAAACGTTGAAAAAAAAATTTTTTTTAAAGAAAAAATAAAGCCTGGAATGTGCCAAAACAACAACAGTCAGAACCAAACACTGCAGCATCATATGTTCAATAAACAGACATTTTTGTTTACTCAATCCAAACACAGACTGGTCCAAGCACTCAGATAAACTTCAGCATTCTTTTTTTTCTTTTCTTTTCTTAAATTGTAGCTGAAATTCTGTTGCTTGAATAACAATTGGAACATGTCTTTCCTATGAACGTATCCATGCCACAGAACCTGTTTAGGATTTGGAACACATTTTCCACACGAGGATGGCAGATGCTCTCTCACAAGGAGGAGGGAGGTGTCTATTCCTGGGCAAGTCTAGTGCCTGTCAAATCTCTGTCTTTTCTTAAAAGCAGCCACTTGGCTGGGGTGCCTGGGTGGCTCAATTGGTTAAGTGTCAGACCTCGGCTCAGGACATGATCTCACAGTTTGTGAGTTTGAGCCCCACATCGGGCTCTCAGCTGTCAGCACAGAACCTGTTTTGGATCCTCTGCCCCTGCCCCCTCTCTGCCCCTCCCCTGCTCGTGTGCTCTCTCTCTCTCTCAAAAATAAATAAATATTTAAATAAACAAAGAAACAAACGAAAAATAAATAAATAGGCAGGCACTATGGTTAGACCAAATGCTCCCCAGGCAAGCTGCAGTGGGGAGACAAGGGTAGCCACCCTCCGGAGAGGCAAATGAAGACATTCAGCTCCTGACTTGCCCATTGCTTACGCACAACTGAAAACTGGCAATGCTAAGTCCTTTGCCACCTCCTTAAAAAATATTTACATCAAATACTGAAATTTTCCATCATCTTGCAGAAAGAGTAGGTTCACAAAGGGAATTTTAATGGAACCACCCTTCATAAAGACCAACAGCTATACAATTTTCCACTAATATTTGTTTTGATGATTCTACCTTTGAAGTTTTTCTATAGAAAGAAACAGCAATTTTACATTTTAATTACAATGTCTTTTATGTATTTTCTTTTTGTTCACCTTATTTAATGTTAGTCTTTGTTTTCTATTCAGGCCTGGAAGCTACGACTCTTCTGTATTACTTACTAATTGTGCTTCTAGTGCTTACAGAGATAGATGAGCACAAATTCAAATGGCAGCATGACACATAATTGTGTCTACTTATGCACATTCTAGATATACGTGTGCCATATTCCTTGCAAATGCACTTTCTTTACTTCATCCGCTAAAACATCGTGACACCAGAGTCACAGACACGTACACAGACAATACGCGTCGTGCCACAAAAGTCCAAGATACAATCTGTTTCCCTTTCTCAAGGTTTCAGGTGATGTACACATTAGCATCCTTATATATAGATTTTACAAATGTAGGTAATTCAGAGTGAATAGAAAATCGGGCTCTAAGCCACTGTTTAGGTTCTCCATGCTGCTGGTAGACTAACGAATGCATATGATGAAAGAGGTGATGCAGACAAAGCCCATAATGTTTGGTGTATAAAAGAGCGGTCATCACCCCAGACCACCCTAGAGACCACAGTCCCACCCATCTGGCCCTGAATGGGCGGCCCCATACCCGACGCTAACCAGTCTTTGGTGCTATCTCACCCACAGGCCTGCGTGGAGAAAACGCATACCTCTGGCTAGTGCTGTCTCTTGGAAACTACATTTCACAGAAAGAGGTGGAATCTCTAATCACTGAAAGGTAATGGAGATTACACAGAACACGATGATGTCTCAATGAAAGTAAGCCTCCGCTAATGCAATGTACATTTGAACAGAGACTTATTGGAAGGAACCACCTTATATTTATGCTGTGTTAGGGAAATAGCACAGAAAGGCTGAGGGAAGTGTTCACTTCATGTCAATATGCTAAAAATCACAGGAAGTGTGTAAATGGATTAGGGTTCTTAGATGAATCTATCCAGCACAGCAATATGGAACAAATTAAAGTGGAAGAATGAAAATGTCACTATCATCATTTTTCTTACAGCTTCTCTTACTAAAAATGGGTTATGTCATGTCTTATTACAAGCCAAGTTTTCCTGCATGAGAGTATTGTTAACATGGTAGGGGGAGGGATAGAAATCAAGTGTAAGAATAACAGTTTACTTGCACAAAGTATACGTTATTTTTTTTTTTAAAGCGGGAAACATTTCAGCTTTAACATTTCTTAATACTTACGTTACACTGCTGATTACGTATTCTAGAAATAATTAATGCCAGTCTCAATTACCAATATGCAATTCACATTTTCAGCCAACTCACTACCTGATATGACAACAGAAGAGAATTTCCCTTATAATATTCAGAGGTACTCATACTCGTGTAAGCAGAACACACAATGCTCTTTACAGCCATGGTTACATCTGATGTCATGATAGGTATTAATAATTGTGCTGAGCATAAATGGTGACAGTATTATAAAAGTTACAAGGTGCAGATCCAGGAAAGCAGGGAGCAATCCACCTAAGCACAGCTGACTCCTCCTAGACTTTCTGCCATATTTCTTTGTATTTGTTCACTTGTGTATTCCTGGCCAGGTCTCATTAGCATAAAAAGGTTGGTTTAAGAACAATTACAAGATAAAACTTCACACTGAGTTATACTCTTTATGTATTTATTTCTTCCTAGAAAAGTGGGGAATAGTTCATTATTCAGTTCTAGTGGTGAAAAAGTAGGCCAGCTCACTGTGCTATGCACAGGAGTTTAAAGCATTGGGAAGGCACTATTTTTGCCCATGACGTACTCATGGTCTGAGAAGAGTTCCAGAGACACTAAATTTATAGATTTGCTTCTTAATTCAACCCACGGTGTCATGAGGAGTCTGCAGGGAAAGGTGAAAATGATATTCTCATCGAGGAAGCAGCATGACCAAGGCAGGGCAGCACTGAAGGGCATTCTGTGGGAGGGAAGGAAGACACTGATGGTTTTTGATGAGGGAAACAAAGGCAAGAGAAATGTAGCTTAAATTAAATCTCCTTACAGCTTGCAGCCCACTGATGGACACCTGAAACACACACAGTGTGACCTTTCTCAAGCAACTCATGGCTGCCTTACTTCCTTTATGCTTTTGTTTTACTAAAGACTAAAAGCAGAGGAGGAACCATGATGAAAGTTTTTTGTGTGTCTTGCGTCCATGAAATACAGCCAGACCAACACTAAAGCATCCTGCACACCTAGAAAACTGATTGGAGGATTTAACACAAAAATCTGCACAACCTGAATCACAGAATTCAGCAAGTAGGCGGCGCGGAGAGGTGAACTTGGGGAGCGAGAAGCCGTGGGAAGGGAGGTTCTTTTGCAGGCGAGAGAGGACAGAGGTGGGGGGCGGGGGAGAATATGGGAAAAACACGCCTCCCTAAAAGCAGCTGGAGAAAAAGCGGAAAATTGGAAACAGCCGCAGGGACTGAACTAAAAAGGGAGAAAGGCGAAAGGAGAGGGTTTAAATTCCATTCAGACTGTAAACAAGGGGAGCCCAAAGGCTACAACTCCGCAGCTCGATACCTGGCAGTGCTCTGGTGGGAAGGGCGATGGGGTCCGGGAGGTTCTCGGGCCACACGGGGAGAAGCGATCCCACTGCTGGAAGGACATTTGGTGGAGACTGTTGAAGCCGAGTCCCAGCAGACCCCGGAAAACAGCCACATTCGCTGGTGCTGGAAACAAGGTCTTCAAGGGTGAAGCCTGGTGCCAGGTGCGTGTTGTGATTTCCCACCATCCCTGAAACGCTCCTGCTACACTGTCTCGCGAACTTTTTCTGGGGCGGGCTGGCACCTGGCAGCAGTCTTGGGGGCACTGGCAGCAGCAGGGTCCAGCGGCAGTTCTGGGTTCAGCGGACATTCGGCCGTTGCTCGTTGGGCCAGTGCTCGGTGAGACGCTCCCGCGGAGGGGCAGAACGGGTCAAAGCCACAGTCCTTCGGGAGTAAGGGGCCGGGAAAACAGCCGCATCTGAGACAAAACTCGGGAGAGAGGTACTGCCTGGGGCCTGGTCGCGGAGAGTGAAAGGGCAGAGAGTGGACTAGAGCTGAAGACAGAGGACGGTGCGCGATTGCTGATCTCGGAAAACAGACCGGGTAGCTGGGTGACGCCATGTTCCACTCCCGCGCATGCGCATACCCACCTATGAGAGCCGCAACACTCCACCCCAGGAGGCTAGCAGCGCCATCTAGTGGACAGCGGAGCCGTTACACTGAGCCCCGCCCAACTGGGCCAACTTTGCTCTTCAAGAACACAAGTCTCACCCCCTACTTAGTTTATGGACTATAAAGCGCTACATAGTCTGACCTCTAGGGGAAAACAAAGTAATTTCAGTCCAATTTCAATCAGTTAGCAGGTCCATCTATTCAATTTTCTTTCTTTTCCCCCCCCCTCTTTTTCACTTCTTTTCTTTTTCTTGAATACAGAAAGAGAAAAAATTCATTTTTATTTTCAATTTTTATTAAATTTTTTTTAATTTTATTACTACATTTCTTACTTTTGCATAAATTATTTCAAATTCTATTTTACTCTCATCATTTTATTTTAGTCTACTTCTGTGTATTCACTTTTTCATATTTTCAAACTATTTCCTTTTTCTTTTTCATTTCATTTCTTTTTCTTGAATACAGAAAGAGAAAACCTTAATTTTTACTTTCAATTTCTATTAAAATATTTTTCTTTAATTTTTACTATATTTTTTGCTTTTATGTAAATTGTGTCAAATTCAATTTTATTTCCATAATTTTATTTTAGTATACTACAGTGTATTCACTTTTTCAAATTTTCAAACGATTTCCTTTTTTCTCCTCTTTTCTTTTTTGTTTCTTCTCTTTTTCTTGAATACAGAAGGAGAAAAATTCATTTTTATTTTTAATTTTTATTTAAAATATTTTTATTTAATTTTTTTCTACTATGTTCTTTACTTTTGTGTAAATTTTTTCAAATTCTATTTTGCTCCC